CAACCACTCCGCCCTCGCGGAGCGCCAAGGAGAAGGGCGGAGGGGGAGGGGGGGGGGGCGCGGGCGGCGCCAGCGCCGCGAGCGCACACACACACACACACACACACACACACACACACACGCCCACAGACACACACACACACACACACACACACGCCCACACACACACACACGTACACACACGCACACACACACAGACGCACACACACACACACACACACACACACACAAACACAAACACGCACAGACACACGCACACACACACACACACACATGCACATTACACGGGCAACGCCGCTGGATTCAGCTCATTCTTCCCCATCTCCGCGCTGACTACTGCCATGCGCCACTGGATCGGCGCCGCGGCGTGGGGATCCAGCCCTTCCAACCAACGCACCCCCCCCAGCGAGCCAGCGCTCCAAAGGAGGGAGGGGCCGCCGCACTACGGGGCCAGCCATCCCTCCGCTCCAGTCCGTCGCAACTCGCAGCACAGCCTTGCTTCGTTCAGCCCCCCCCTCCGCCCCCCCCCCCCACCCCCCCGCCCCCCTTGTCCTGCCCCCCTCCCAAAAAAAAAAACACCCACCCCACCTCCCATCCCATCCCACCCCACCCCCACCCCCACACACACACACACAACACACACACACACACACACACACACACACGCACACGCACACGCACACACACACACACACACACACATACACACACACACACACACACACACCTCCCCTTCATTCCCTCTTCGAAACCCAAAACCCCTGCCCAGCCCTGTCCTATCGGCCCGAATGCCAGGCGGACCCCGCCGACCGATCCAGCTCATTCCCCTGCATGTCCACAGCCAACCCCCGGCCCGATGTCCACTGACACACAGACACACAGACACACAGACACACAGACACACAGACACACAGACACACAGTCACATACACACACAGACACACTAACACACTGACACACTGACACACAGAAACACAGACACACAGACACACTCACACACGGACACACAGACACACAGGCAACCGGACACACAGACACACAGACACACGGACACACAGACACACAAGCACAGGGACACACAGACACACAGACACGCAGACGCACAGACACAGCGACCCACAGACACACAGACACACAGGCACACCGACACACGGACACTCAGACACACAGACACACAGACATACAGACACACAGACACAAGGAAAGACAGAAAGACAGAAAACCAAGCTCACAGACACACAGACACACAGACACACATACACACAGACACACTGACGAACGGACACACAGACACACAAACACACAGACACACAGACACACACACAGACGCATAGACACACAAGCACGCAGACAAACAGACACACAGACATACAGACACACAATCACACAAACACACAGACACACAGACACTCAGGCACACTGACACACACAGCACCAGGCACACAGACACACAGACACTCAGACACACAGACACACAGGCACACAGACACACAGACACACAGGCACACGCAGACACGCAGAAACACCAACACACAGACACGCAGACACAAGGGCACACAGACACGCAGGCACAAAGCCACACAGACACACAGACACACAGACAAACAGATACACAGACACACTGACACACTGACACACAGACACACAGACGCAAAAAAAAACACTGACACACAGACAGAGACACACAGACACACAGACACACAGACACACAGACACACAGACACACAGACACACAGACACACAGCCACACAGCCACACAGACACACAGACACACAGAGAGACAGAAACACAGGCACACAGGCACACAGACACACAGACACACAGACACACAGACACACAGACACACAGACAGACACAGACAGACAGACAGACAGACAAACACACAGACAGACAGACCGACGGGGCTGCCAGCGCCACGCGCGCACACACAGACACTGACACACACACACGCGCACACACACGCAAATACACGCGCACAGACAGACAGACAAGCACACACACACAGACGCACAGAAAGACAAACACACAGACAGATCCACAGACAGACAGACACACAGACATACTGACATACAGACACGCAGACACACAGACACAAAGACACGCAGACACAAGGATACACAGACACACAGAAAACCAGTCACAAGGACTCACAGACACCCAGACACGCAGACACTCAGACACACAGACACACGGACACACAAACACACAGACATACAGACACACAGACACGGACACACGGACACACGGACACAAAAGACACACGGACATACAGACACACAGACACACTGACACACAGACACACAGACACACAGACACGCAGACACACAGACGCACAGACGCACAGACACACGGACACACAGACAAACAGACACACAGACATACAGACACATCGACACACAGACACACAGACACACGGACACACGGACACACTGACACCAACACACTGACACACAGACACACCAACACCAACACACACAGACTGACAGACACACAGACACACAGACACACGGACACACGGACACGCAGACACACAGTCACAAAGACACACGGACACGCACAGGGACACACAGACACACAAACACACAGACAAATACACAACCAGACACACAGATACACAGACACACAGAAACACAGACACACGGACACACCGACACACTGACACACAGAAACACAGACACACAGACACACTGACGCACGGACACACCGACACACAGGCAACCACACACACAGATACACAGACACACAGACACACGGACACAAATAACGACAGAAAGAAAGACACAGAGGCACAGGGACACACAGACACACAGACACACAGACACACAGACACATAGACACAGAGACCGGCAGACACACAGACACACAGATACACAGACACACGGACAATAAGACACACAGACACACAGACACACAGACACACAGAAAGACAGAGAGACAGAAACACAGACACACAGACACACATACACACAGACACACAGACAAACGGACACACAGACACACAGACACACAGACACACAGACACACAGACACACAGGCACACAAACACGCAGACAAACAAACACACAGAAAAGACTGACAGACACACAAACACACAGACACACACACACGGACACGCAGACACACAGGCACACAGACACACGGACACACACACAAAGGCAACACAGACACACAGATACACAGACACACCGACACACGGACACAAAGAAAGACAGAAAAACAGACACACAAGCACAGGGACACACAGACACAGAGACACGCAGACACACAGACACAGAGACCCACAGACACACAGACACACAGACACACAGACACACGGACACTCAGACACACAGACACACAGACATACAGACACACAGACACAAGGAAAGACAGAAAGACAGAAAACCAGGCTCACAAACACGCAGACACACAGACACACATACACACAGACACACAGACAAACGGACACACAGACACACACACACACACACACAGACGCATAGACACACAAACACGCAGACAAACAAACACACAGACATACAGACACACAAATACACAAACACACAGACACACAGACACTCAGGCACACTGACACACACAGCACCAGACACACAGACACACAGACACTCAGACACACAGACACACACACAGACACACAGACACACAGGCACACGCAGACACGCAGAAACACCAACACAGAGACACGCAGACACAAGGGCACACAGACACGCAGGCACAAAGCCACACAGACACACAGACACACAGACAAACAGATACACAGACACACTGACACACTGACACACAGACACACAGACGCAAAAAAAAAAAAACACTGACACACAGACACTCAAACACACAGACACACAGACACACAGACACACGGACACCCAGACACCCAGACACACAGACACGCAGACACACAGACACACAGACACACAGACACACAGACACACAGACACACAGACACACAGCCACACAGACACACAGACACACAGAGAGACAGAAACACAGGCACACAGGCACACAGACACACAGACACACAGACACACAGACACACAGACACACAGACACACAGACAGACAGACAGACAGACAGACAGACAAACACACAGACAGACAGACCGACGGGGCTGCCAGCGCCACGCGCGCACACACAGACACTGACACACACACACACACACACAAACACGCGCACACGCACACGCAAATACACGCGCACAGACAGACAGACAAGCACACACACACACACACAGACGCACAGAAAGGCAGACACACAGACAGATCCACAGACAGACAGACACACAGACATACTGACATACAGACACGCAGACACACAGACACAAAGACACGCAGAAACAAGGATACACAGACACACAGAAAACCAGTCACAAGGACACACAGACACCCAGACACGCAGACACTCAGACACACGGACACAAACACACAGACATACAGACACACAGACACGGACACACGGACACACGGACACAAAAGACACACGGACATACAGACACACAGACACACTGACACACAGACACACAGGAACCTTCCGCTGACCCAAGAGGAACCGCCCAGGCGCGCGCGAAGCACGAGACACCTGAAAGTACAACACGAGGTCACTAAACGGAAACTTCGGCCAGTAGTATTCAAAGTTTCGGCATTCTCCCGCGTGAGCAAACCCTGGCAGACAAAAATCAAGCGCAATATCTTCGGCGATGGCATGCAAATCAGTCCGCGAACTCTGCAACCGCATGACGCCAGCAGCGATGCGACGCGCCCCCACTGCCCAATCGCCCAGGAACGCAACGAAAGCCAAAACACGGGCGATTGGCTTATCCGCATTGGAAACACCCTGCCAAGACATGCACCACCCGATCTCTCCCACGCGACGTCGAACGAGATCCATGGGGAACTCCCGGCGCCCGTCGTTCGTAGATCCCCAGAAGTAAGCCGGACAGGGGCACTCGGCCAAGACCAACCGCGCGCGTCGAGCCCACGCGTCGATATCTCGCAACAACCCACCTGTGACCTCGAGGAACGCTTCGAAGCCAGCGATGTCAGCGAAGAAACGGAAGACCAAGTCGTAGAACACCCACACACGAAACGCATCCTCGGAGGCAAGAGATCCATTCGGGAACAGCGCAGCGACGCGATGAGCCAGAGTCGTCGGCGACAGATCAGGCACGGGGCTGTGAAGACCCGCGGCAAACTGCCCCCGCTTCCTCGCGAACTTCCCCAGCGGAGTAATCCGACCATTGGACACGCCCCTCTCGAAGCGCTTCAGCAAACACGGCTGGTTCAGCGAACCCAGCACGAAACCATCACTCTCACCCCCAGCGGCACCAGACGGACCATGGATGGGAACCCTCGCAGGAGTCATCCCTGTGATGGCAACGGCAATGTGAAGCAGCCAGACGCACTTGAAGTGAACAAACTCGGGCTTGAGCTTATACTTCTCTGCCAGGAATTGCAAACACTGCCGCTCCGCCAGAGAAGGACTGGCAAATCGAATGCCGCCCGGCGCAACGAGACCCTTCACGAGAGAATCCGCTGGGCACAGGTGCCGGAGAACACACATTCGTTCCTTATCGCGGACGTGCTGACTCGTCACCGCCGCGGCCAAGGGCCCCATTGAACGAACCAACACGGAAGCAAACTGGGGCAGCACTGTCCAATCATCATGCGAAACCTCGTCCGCCGTCTCAGCCAATTGACCAGCAACCTCTTCGACCACGCGCGGGTCCAGCCGCAACCGTTCGCTCACGGACGCCCAAGCGAAGTCATCACTACGCACAGCGGCAAGCACGACTTCAACATCGTCTCGGAATTCAATGGGTACCGAACTCAAAGCCCCCCCCCGAGCTCCGACAACGCGCAACACCACACCTCGGTCCATGCGCAAGTGCTGCGGCAACGACTCCCACGCGGCCCCCCGATTGAGGGCGGCGTCGCTGGCGGACGCGATATCCGCAACACAGCCAACCGCGCCCCCCCTTTGCCCCCCATGGCAACGACGTTACATTTCCCACACCAGTCTCCCTTCATCGACACTCGATTGCCACACTTCCTACCAGCATGGCCTCCGGACCCCAGAACCATTTGGCCGAACTTGCAATGCGGCAACGTGCCATCACAAGCGCACTTTTGACCAACAGAATCCCTGACGCCATCGTCGGGAACGACAGGCGAAGCGAAAGATGCGGCAGCGCCGTCCAGATGCGCCGATACGGTCGGAGAACCAGATGCGGGCACAACTGGAGGAACGCCGGAGACACCCGCGGAAGAGGACGATTTAGAAACCTCGTCTGCTGGCAGCAGACGCTCCACATCCCCGTCTCCGCGCTGCGGGCCGCCAAGAGACGGAGCCACGAAGACGGCATCAGAACGCGAACTGCCACCAGGAGAGCCGACCGCAGATGCAAAGTCGCGGCGGGGCCGCTTCACCCCCGCGGCATCCGGGTTGACACCGCCCATACCGGCCTTCGGGGCGCCAGCCACGGACCGTAGCCACGGCGCAGCATCCGCATCTCCAACACGCACGCGAGCGCCCAGCCGATCATCCAAATCCACAACCGCTGCAACATGGCCCTCGGGATACCACACAACAGATCCGAAGTCGTGCCCACATGGACAACCCAGCACCCACACGGCGCAACACCCGCCCCGCAGCAAAGCATCTGCACCGTCCGCCCCATAAACGCGCACCATCGCCCCACGCGACTCCAGCCAATCCTGCACGAGAGCAAAGTTCGCCTTCTCCGCCGCGTCACCGCACGCCCCAGCTCCGGAATCATTAGCGCACTGCAACTCGAAGAAGCACTCCGCCTGCGCGCGCGCGCCAGCACCCCCGCACCGAGCGACACTCAATTGCAGACACTCATTCCGCCACGGCCCCAGGCGATCCCCCGCATCAACAACTCCGAGTCGCCCCGACGCGACGCCGCGTCGAAGGCGCCGCCGCCACGCGCAGGACGCGCCAAACCCCCCAGCAGCACCGAGTCGTCCCACGCGGGAACACACATCGCAGGACACACCGCCCAGCGCGGCGAAGACACAGGCCACGCGCAAAGCCGCATCGCCAACGCACTGCCCCGCCCACTGCGACGCCCTCCAGGCAGCGCCCCCCACGCACTCGTCCGCGCCCCGGCCCGCCCTGGCCTTGGCAGCGCGGATGACAATGCCGGGGGAGAACCTGCGCGCGCACACGCGCCGCCCCCCGCACCTCCGCGCGGAGAGCCCACGCAGGCCACAGTAAAACCACTTGGCGACCCGAACCTTCGCGGCAGACGGCGCCGCATCGGACGGAGCGTCCACGTCGCGCCAGAAGCTCTCTCTCTCTTTCCACATCCGCGCGCGCGCCATCGCGCGCGTCACAGCGCGGCCACCCGAAAGAACTTGTGGCCTTGGCGGGAACAGACCCAGCGCAGCGAAAACTAAAGCTGCAATCAGCGCAACCTCCCCGACTGACAGCGCAGACACCCGCGCTTCCAGAGACGGCAGCGCCACGCGCGGGGTGGACACCGAATCGACAGCCCGCGCCGCTCGGGCATTGAGAAACTGCTGCAGTCGCGCGCTTCTCCGCCCCCCCAGCGCCGCGCGGGACACCCGGGCACGCCGCGGCAACTCATCGCGCGCACGCGGCGACTCATCGCGCGGAAGCGGGCGCGGCACGACCGGAAGCGGGACACGGACCGCCATCTCTTCGTTACGCGCCGCCGCCGCCTCCGTCCGCCGCGCCCACTCCGCCTCCCGCCGCGCGCAGCGCGACCTCCGAAGCAACGCGCGGCACGCCTTGCGATGCGCTTTCTGCTCGCGCTCCGCCGCCTCCCAGGCAGAATCATCAACGACTTCCTCCCTGAACACGTCGTGCTCTGCGCGCAAGCTCTCACGCAGCCGGCCCCCCCACTCAACTGATCCACCCAGCGGCGGGGCGCGCTCCGCGCCCCGCACAGACGGAGCCGGGACCGAGGCCACGGCCGCGACAGAAACCGAGGCCAACGCCGGTGACCAAGCGGAAGCCAAAACCGGGGCTGGCCTGACAACGTCGTCAGCTCCAAACCAATCGTCGTCAGCGTCAGTCTCGTCGTCCTTGTCACAATCGCTGGCGGCAGAATCGGAACACTGTCGCGGAAAATTCGCGATAGTTTCCCCCTCCCAGCGCGCTGCCTCCGAAGAGACACATCCGCACCGAGCGGCCCCCGGAGCAGAAGACCCTCGGGAAAAATCGGCGAGGGCATCCCCCTCCGAGAGCGCCCTTCCCGAAACGCCCGCTCGGCCCAGCAGGCCACACGCCGGAGCAGAAAACCGCTGCGAAAAATTCGCGATAGTTTCCCCCTCCCAGAGCACTGACCCTGAGGCCTCCCCGCGCCGCACAGCCCGCGCTGGAGCCGAAAACGCCCGCGAAAATTTGGCGAGCGTTTCGTCCTCCCAGCGCAGACCGCAGTCGCGTCCGCCCACCGCGCCCGCCGCGCCACCGACACACCACGCTTCCGCGCATACAGACATTCCCTCCAAAATTTCTTTAATGTAACCCGATGTGATGAACCACCGAGCCCCCATGGCACCAGGCCAACCCGGAGGGGAACCAGGGCCCGCTTTCGCGGGACTTCCCCCGGCCGCACAGCGCGGCGCGACCAGGCGCCCAGCCGGAGCTGGGGCTTCCACAACAGCTAGCTGCCAAGGGAGAGGAGACTCCCGAGCGCCCGCTGCATAGGTCCTTTGTTTAGCCTCGGTAGGATCGAGGTTCCCTTCACTACTATCTTTCTCGGAGAGTGGAGACTCCCGAGCGACTGCCGTGAAGTGTCGATGAACCCCGGCGCGGTTAACCCGGGGGTGTCCGCGCATCGCACCCGCGGAGGGAGAGCCGGCATCAACCCAGCATTTCTCTCGATCACTCGAGAGCACAACCGCGCACGCGGCCGAGCCTTCCCCCACAGCGTGCTCGAAAGCTTCTGCAGGCTCCAGCGTTTCCTCAGATTGCTCTGAGGCACACCCCGAAGGGCGGCCCGGGCAGGAGAGCCCAGGTCTTGAAGAGAGAGGTTCCCGGGTTCTCACCGGGCACGCCGCAGTCCCCGGAGGGAGCCACAGCTCTGCTGGGCTTTCACCAACTCCTCCACCGCCTCCCGGAGGAAGCAGCAGAAGGTCGTCTCGGGTTTGCACCGGACGCGCCGCACTCCGCGCAGGGACGCACGACTCTGCTAGGCTTGCACCAGCTCCCCCACCGCCACCCGGAGGCAGCAGCAGGTCCCGGGCTTTCACCAGGTGCCCCGCCATCTCCTGTGAGACAGCAGATCTCCCTCGGGTTAGCCCCGAAGGTAGGCCCCAGAGCCCGCCGCCGCTCCCTGCGGAACGACTGCAGACCCCCGGGCCGCGCTAGAAGCTCAAGGCTCCTTGAGCCTAAAGGAAGAGGAAGGAGGAGCGCCGGTGGAGGCTGCGCGGCGGCGGCGGCCCCCCCCCTCGTCGTCGTCGTCGTCGTCGTCGTCGTCGTCGTCGTCGTCGTCGTCGTCGTCGTCGTCGTCGTCGTCGTCGTCGTCGTCGTCGTCGTCGTCGCCGTCGTCGTCGTCGTCGTCGTCGTCGTCGTCGTCGTCGTCGTCGTCGTCGTCGTCGTCGTCGTCGTCGTCGTCGTCGTCGTCGTCGTCGTCGTCGTCGTTGTTGTCGTCGTCGTCGTCGTCGTCGTCGTCGTCGTCGTCGTCGTCGCCGTCGTCGTCGTCGTCGCCCCCCCCGCTCCCTCGCCGCTGCTGCCCTCTGCTTGCCTTGCCCTGCTGCGCTCCCCGCCGCTGCCCTCGCCGCTGCCCTCCCGCTGCCCTTTGCTTGCTTGCCCTCCCCGCTGCTGCCCTCGCCGCTGCTCCCGCTCCCTCGCCGCTCCCTGCTGGCCGGCCCCCCTCTGCTTGCCTTGCTCTGCTGCGCTCTCCCAGTGCCCCCCCGCCGGCCCCTCGCGCCTCCGTCGTCGTCTCTGTCGCCCCTTCCGCTCCCTCGCCGCTGCTGCTCTTTTCTGCTCCCTGCTGGCCGGCCCCTCCTCTGCTTGCCTTGCCCTTCTGCTCTCTCCCGCTGCCCCCCCGCCGCCCCCCAGCCGCGACCGGCCGGAGCCGCAGCCGCGGCCGCGGCCGCGGCTGGAAGAAAAAACCACCGCGAAAAATTCCCGATAGTTTTCCCCCTCCCAGCCGCAGCCACAGCCGGAGCCGCAGCCGCGGCCGCGGCCGCGGCCGCGGCTGGAAGAAAAAAAACACCGCGAAAAATTCGCAATAATTCCCCCCCTCCCAGCCGCAGCCACAGCCAGAGCCGCAGCCGCGGCCGCGGGCGCGGCTGGAAGAGGAAAACCACAGCGAAAAAATCGCAATACTTTCCCCCTCCCAGCCGCGGCCAGAGCCGCAGCCGCGGCCACGGCCGCGGCTTGAAAAAGAAAACCACCGCGAAAAATTCGCGATAATTTTCCCCCCCCAACCCCGCCCCCCCCCCCGGGCCGCAGACGCTAGCCGCAGACGCGGCGCGGCCGCGGCTGAAGAAGACAACCGAGCCTGACGCGAAAAATTCGCG